CTTGTTCAAAAGTGGCTATAAAATTTTTAGATTCACTGTTGATTAATACAGTTATACAGTATTGAACTCACTATAAGCCCTGTAAGACATAAAATTGAATGAGTTTTTTTAACCTTTAAACAAGATCTCCATTTGATTTTAGAATATATTGTTCCTTGCAGAAAGACTTTTTTTTTTTTTTGCTACTAAGTAACACTGAGATGTTGGCACATGCAACTCTAATCTGTATGCATCTGTTTATTGCTAGTCATAATCGGTTGCACTCGGATCCTCAGCACCTGTGTATGTCTATAAAGTCATTGGGTAGATGTCAGTGGTAATGTTTATCACCTCTACTAATTAACATGACATAAATTTCCATGCTTCCTCCTCAAATATAACACATTTTAAAACATTTATTGACTTGTGTGTGTGTGTGTGTGTGTGTCACACAGAACATCCCAAACCATCTTATTCGACTACACATCCACTTCCCAGATGGCACCCTGCCATAGCCTCCCTCCCCGCACTACAACCCTTATACTCTGATATCCCTGTTACTGTCTGCTGTGTTGTTGGCACCCCTAGCCCTTCCCGCTACTTGCTCTTCTGGTGAATCTAGTCAGCCTATCTAGATGTCTTTGTTTTAGGAGGGTCAGCTGTTCCTCATCTAGCAGTGATCAGTTGTCAATATTCCTGATAAGATTGGGGTCTGCTGTTCATTTTCCCAGTTCTATGCTGGGTTACTATCTGGTAGTCCCTTTAGCCGCCCTAGCCATCAACTCAAAAGAAGGTATCGCCTATCTGGCATTGTTGCTTGTTATGTAAACTTTAGCTATGCATATGGACTCTTAAGAAATCATATTATTTCTTAACCAAGGATTAAAGAAAATTTTTTATGTAACAATGTTTCTTAGCCTCTTATTTAAGGCATTTCATGGTGTGCTTTATAACTCTTCTTGCACATGTATATGTGTGTCTGTATGCTTGTATATACATATATATGCAGGATAGTGTGTGAGTGGATGAGCAGGTGGAAACCAGAGCTGATGCTAGGTGTTTTCCTCTAGTTGCTTTTCATCTTGTTTTTAAAGAATGGTCTCTGAATCTCTGTACCAGGAATTTGGCTAGACTGACAGGCTTGCTTCTGGTATATCCTGTCTCAACCACACAATGTTGGAATTCCAGGACCACTGCAGGAGCCCCGGATTTTTGAGTGTGTACTGGGGGTCTCAACTCAGATCCTCATATTGCCTGGCAAGCATTTTACTGATTGAGCAATCTCACCTACATCATGTTTGTTCCTTTTAATGATTCTATGTTTCTATTTTTAACAAGCTGTCTTACTCATTTTTTTCTGT